CCCCGGGACCCCCCCGGTCCCCATCCCCTCGGTCTGACCGGGCTTGCAGCGGCCCGGGCCGCGGTGCCCCACACCGGGCATCCCCGTGCTCCTGCGGCCGGAGCTACGGCTGTCGGGCAGGATGCGACCCCGGTGCTCGGCTCCCGCAGTCATCGACCTGCTGATGGTGAGCGAGGCCCGGCAGATGGCCAGCATAACGCACAAGATCCGGATGGAGCTCCTGACCGTTAACGACGTTTACCTCCTCTCCACCTTCCGCCTGCCACCCAAGCAGGGGGGGACTCTCTTCGGCCTCTACTCCAAGAAGGACAACACGAGGTGGCTGGAGGTCTCCGTGGTGGGGAAAATCAACAAAGGTGGGTGCCCGCTGCGCGGGGCCGCGCTGGCCCCGCTCTTGCCGCGATGCTCGGCGAGAAACGGAGACCGTGTTCCTGCCGTCCGCGGGGCCCGCTGGGGAGAGCGGCGGGGGGGGCGCGGGGCGGGGGGCTGGCGTGTTGGGGGGGGGTGCGAGAGCTGACGGCCCCTTCCCGCTCCTCCGCAGTCCTGGTGCGTTACCTGCGGGAAGACAACAAGCTGCACTCGGTCAACCTGCAGCACGCGCACGTGGCGGACGGGCAGAGCCACACCGTCATCGTGCGCCTGAGCGGGCTGCGCGGGGACATGCTGAGCGTCGAGCTCTACGTCGACTGCAAGCAGATGGACTCCAGCGTGGGGCTGCCCGAGCTGTCGGAGATCCCGCTGGCGGAGGTGGAGTCCATCGAGGTGCGCACAGGGCAGAAGGCCTACCAGAGGATGCAGGTGAGTGCCGGGACCCCCCGGGGGGCCGAGATCTGCCCCCTCCGCGCCTTCGGGGACAGGCAGAGCCTCCCGCGGCTGACCGCGTCTGCCCTCGCGCATCAGGGGTTCGTGGAGTCGATGAAGCTGATCCTGGGAGGGTCAATGAGCCGCGTCGGAGCCCTGAGCGAGTGCCCTTTCCAGGGAGACGAGTCCATTCACAGTGCAGGTAACGGCACGTCCGCGCCCCGCGTCGAGCAGGGGCAGCGCGGAGGGCTTACGGGGTCACCCACACGTGCTACGCGCTGTGGCACGCGGGGGCGGGAGGTGACGGCGCACGCCGCACAGAGGGGTGCTCCTGCCTCTCCCGGTCCGGGCGTCCCCACGCAGGTGGGAGCTCCTGCGCCGGGCACGTGCTGACCGGGAGCGACCGCGCAAGGTGACGCCGCGGGGCTTTGATGGCGGCATTGGGTAATAGTTCATCTCTCTCCTTGCAGTGACAAGCGTGCTGGCGTCCATCCTGGGTAAGGCCCCGCTCTGCTTCCCCCTTTCCCTGACGTGAGGGTAACGGCGACGTTTGGGGCTCCACGGAGGCAGAAACCCCCCCGCAGCCTGTCCCAGTGCCCCGAGTGCCTGCGGGGCCCCGGGACGGGGCGGATCAGAGGGCACGGGCCGTGCTACGTGGGAAGGGGTCCTGTGTGGACCAGGGAGGAGGAGGAAGGGCCGTTGGCTGTCTTGGCCTCCCGGTTCAGTGCCGGGGAGCAAAGCAGTCCCCAGTCTGTGCTGGGGCTGACCTTGTCCTTTCTGCTCCTGGCAGGCGAGCAGACCAAGGCGCTGGTCACGCAGCTCACCCTCTTCAACCAGGTCCTGACCGACCTGCGGGAAGACATTAGGGACCAGGTGAGGCGGTGGGGTGGTATCGGCTCTCCCCGGGCCGGGTTTGCCCAAGAGGAGGGTGCCAGCCCGTCCGCTGCATCCCCCTGACGCTCCGCGCTCTGCTGCCTCGCAGGTGAAGGAGATGTCGCTGATCCGCAACACCATCATGGAGTGCCAGGTCTGCGGTGAGTGCTGGCCGGGCTCTGCTCCCACCGCAGCGGGCGAAGGGCCGCCCCGTCTCACCCCCTGCCCGGCCCTCCTTTTCTCAGGCTTCCACGAGCACCGGTCCCGTTGCAACCCCAACCCCTGCTTCAGCGGCGTGGACTGCATGGAGACATACGAGTACCCCGGGTACCGCTGCGGGCCCTGCCCGCCGGGGCTGGAGGGCAACGGCACGCACTGCGCCGACATCGACGAGGTGGGCACGTGCCTGGGGCGGGTCAGCGGGCGACGCCTGAGCCCCAGCGCCGCCACAGCAGCGTGGGCAGACAATGCTTCCCCTCTCCGGGTGCATCCTCAAGCCGGGAACGCCGGGATGCCCTGGGGCGTGCAGGATGCCGTGCCTGAGGGTGAAGCCTTTCTCTCTCCCCGTGCTGCAGTGCGCTCATGCCAACCCCTGCTTCCCCGGCTCCAAGTGCATCAACACGGCCCCCGGCTTTCGCTGCGAGCCCTGTCCCCGCGGTTATCGGGGCAACACCGTCTCTGGCGTGGGGGCTGACTACGCCAGGGCCAGCAAGCAGGTGAGCGCGGTGCCACGGGACTCGGCCGGGTCCCTGTGGGCACTCCGGGCTGCGGGGATGCAGGCAGGGAAAGGTCTGCGACGGTTCCTCCCGCGCTGCTCGCAGGTTTGCACGGATATTGATGAATGCAACGATGGGAACAACGGGGGCTGCGACCCCAACTCCATCTGCACCAACACGCTGGTGAGCAGAGCTGCCCCGCTCCCCTGCCTGGCCCCCGGGGCCGCTCTGCTCCCCTAATCCTGCCCCTGCCCTCTCCCTCCCAGGGCTCCTACAAGTGCGGTCCCTGCAAGTCCGGTTTTGTGGGGAATCAAACGTCCGGCTGCGTCCCGCAGAGGTCCTGCAGCATTCCCACCTCCAACCCCTGCGACATCAACGGCTTCTGCGTGTTCGAGAGGAACGGTGAAATTTCCTGTGCGGTGAGTGGGGGGACGGCGAAGCGGAGGGGCGCAGGGGGTATCGGCACGGGCAGCCCTTGGTGCTGCCAGGGCCCTTCCCCGCTTCCCAGCCCCTGATTTCTTCTTTTTTCAGTGCAACGTGGGCTGGGCTGGCAACGGCAACGTATGCGGGCAAGACACGGACCTCGACGGCTACCCGGACGAGCCCCTGCCCTGCATCGACAATAACAAGCACTGCAGGCAGGTGGGTGTCCCGCGGAGGGAGGGCAGCGTCCTCGGGGACGGGGCTCGGGGAGCCCGCGGCAGGGCTGTGCTTCAGACCTCGTCTCCTCCCCGTCGTTAACGCTGCCTGTGCCCGCAGGACAACTGCCGCCTGACGCCGAATTCGGGGCAGGAGGATGCCGACAACGATGGCATTGGGGACCAGTGTGACGATGACGCCGACGGCGATGGCATCAAGAACGTGGAGGTGGCTGTGCTGAGCGGGCGGGACGTGCCTGTGGCTCTGGGGGCCGTGCTTGGCAAAGGGCTTCTCCCTTTGGCTTGGTGCTGACGTCCTCCAGACGCTGCTTCTGGGGACCAGCAGGCTCTGGGGTGGTCCCAGTTGGCGTGCTGGAGGAGATGGCCTCCTGCCCTGGCCCGTGTGGGACTGTGGCCATCCCTGCCCTCTTCCCCGCAGGACAACTGCCGGCTCTTCCCCAACAAGGACCAGCAGAACTCGGACACCGACTCCTTCGGGGACGCCTGCGACAACTGCCCCAATGTGCCCAATAACGACCAGCGGGACACAGACAGCAACGGCGAGGGGGACGCTTGCGATAACGACATCGATGGGGACGGTGAGCGGCTCTCGGAGCCCCGGCCTGCCCTTGCGGGGCTGGGGCCGGGGGCCGCTCGCAGAGCGGGGCCGCTGTCACGCCAGGCTGGGGGGGCGAGGGCATCCACCCCGCGCTGTCCTTGCAGGGATTCCCAACATGCTGGATAACTGCCCCAAGGTGCCCAACCCTCTGCAGACGGACCGGGACGAGGACGGCGTCGGGGACGCTTGTGACAGTTGCCCTGAAATGAGCAACCCCACTCAGGTATGGCCGGGGCCAGGCAGTGCGGGGGGCCTGGGGCGTGCAGGACCCTGCCCAGCGGGCGTCAGGGGGGTCCTCCTGCAGCCCCGGGGTGTCCGCTGAACTAGGGCTCCGGTCTCCTCCAGACAGATATGGACAGCGACCTGGTAGGAGACATCTGTGACACCAACGAGGACAGGTAGGGAGTGCGCTGCTGCGGGGTCACCTCCCCGTCCCATCGCGTCCCATCCCTGGGGGCAGAGCCGAGTGCCCGGCTCGGGGCTCCGGGAGAGGGGACGATGGGGTTTTGGGGGTTGGCAAGGGTGCTGGGATGCGGTGCCGGATCCCCGGTTTGTGGCGCTGCTCTGACCCCGTGCTTGCTCCCAGCGATGGGGACGGGCATCAGGACACCAAGGACAACTGCGCTGAGATCCCCAACAGCTCCCAGCTGGACTCGGACAACGACGGGCTGGGGGATGACTGTGACAACGACGACGACAACGATGGCATCCCTGACTACGTGGCGCCTGGCCCAGACAACTGCCGCCTCATCCCCAACCCCAACCAGAAGGACTCGGACGGTGAGTGCGGGGCGGGCGGGAGGAGGCAGAGCTGCCCGGGCTGAGCCCGGCCCTGACCGACGTGCGCGTCCCCAGGGAACGGCGTGGGCGACGTGTGCGAGGAGGACTTCGACAACGACACGGTGGTGGACCAGCTGGACGTGTGTCCCGAAAGCGCTGAGGTGACACTGACCGACTTCCGTGCCTACCAGACCGTCATCCTCGACCCCGAGGGGGACGCCCAGATCGATCCCAACTGGGTTGTCCTCAACCAGGTGTGGGTGCTGCCCCCCGTGTTTCTGGGGGCTGCGCTGCCGGGGTGGGAGCAGAGGGGGGACCAGGAGGTCCCCGGGGCTGCTGGAGACGCCCCTCACCCCGCTGTCCCCCCCCAGGGCATGGAGATCGTGCAGACCATGAACAGTGACCCGGGCTTGGCTGTTGGTAAGGGATCTTCTGCCACCTGCAGACCCCGTGGGGCAGCCCCCCTGCTCCTGCCCCCCTGCGCTGGGGGGTGAGGGCTGGGTCTTTGCCCCGCGGAGGGGTGAAGGGTGGGCTGAGGGAGGCGGGGTGCAGGGTCCCGCGCCGGGGGAGAGGGCTCTTTGCAGCGTTTGCCTGCCCGTAGGCTACACGGCCTTCAACGGGGTGGACTTCGAGGGTACCTTCCACGTCAACACTGTCACCGACGACGACTACGCCGGCTTCATCTTCAGCTATCAGGACAGCGCCAGCTTCTACGTGGTGATGTGGAAGCAAACGGAGCAGACGTACTGGCAGGCCACCCCCTTCCGCGCCGTGGCAGAGCCAGGGCTGCAGCTCAAGGTGGGTGCTGGCCGCCCCGCGGGCTGGGTCGGCCCCCCCTGGCCGCGTCCCCCCCCCGACGCCCCGTGCACCTGCAGGCAGTGAAGTCCTCGACGGGCCCTGGCGAGCACCTGCGCAACGCGCTGTGGCACACGGGCCACACGCCCGACCACGTCCGCCTGCTCTGGAAGGACCCACGCAACGTGGGCTGGCGGGACAAGACGTCCTACCGCTGGCAGCTGGCGCACAGGCCCCAGGTGGGCTACATCAGGTGAGCGGGGGCCGGCCGCAGGGTGGCCACGGAGGCTGCTGGGCTGGGGGCTGCTCTGGCCACAGCGTAGGGGGAGGATGCTGGCTGGTGGGAGGTGGTCCAGCCCCGGTGGGACCACAGCGGTGAAGGGATGTTGGCTGTGGGGAGGGGTCCAGCCCTGGTGGGACCACACCAGTGGGGTATACTGGCCGTTGGGAGGGGCTACCCTTCGATGGGGCTACCCTTCGATGGGGCTACCCTGGTGGGGAGGATGGTGGCCATTGGGAGGGGGTCCCCTTTGATGGGGCCACCCTGGTGGGGAGGATGGTGGCTGTGGGGTGGGGTCCAGCCCCGGTGGGACCACACCAGTGGGGTGGCCATTGGGACTGGGGTCTCCCTCAGTGGGGCCACCATGGTGAGGAGGATGCTGGCCGTTGGGAGGGGGTCCAGCCCCGGTGTGGTCCAGCTGTGGGGAGGGGTCCTGTCCCGGTGGGACCACACCGGCGAGGGGATGCCGGCCCGGGCAAGGGGGCTCCAGCCCCGGTGTGGTCCAGCCGTGGGGAGGGGTCCTGTCCCGG